CCATAAGTGGTTTCACGTGTTACACTGACAAGTTTCGGATTAATATTGATAAATTCGGGAGCACGATCACCAACAACGGCGGCGTGTACGTGCACGACCGAGTCCGGGCGAAAACTTTAATCATAAAAATTGAACGTGGAAACGGACAGCTGACCGCTCGTCCCGATAAAAGATATATCACTCGAATCTCGTTATATTTTCGCGGCTTCAAATATTTACAACTCGGGCGAACTTTCTTCAACAATCTTGAACTTACGTCTGGACGAGTGGCAAAGAGTAAATGTACGATAATATTCTCGAAGAAATTTCACTCCTTAAAATAATTTAATTTACTTTTACGAGAAAAAAGAAACATCTCTTTGCACTCGTTATTATTCGATATCTAAAACATAGTCAGACTCGAGATTTTTCTAATTTAAAAACGTAAAAAAATTCTCGAAAGTATCTAAATAATAAATGTAGAGCATACATTGACAAATATAATTTATAAAATTCTAATATACTGTAATATTATAATGCTATAATACTGTAATACTGTTATAAATATAGTTTGTTATTAAAAAAAAAATATTTAAAAAATCAACAAAGGTGTGAAATAAAGGAATGGAAAGACGCGTGATTGCAGTTACTTGAACTTAGATGGAGAAAGAGGGTGATCAAAAGTTGGTCGTCGAAGAAAGCGTCTGCCTGACCATCGGTTTATTCGATTCTATAAAAGATGGATGATCCGACATCGAGCGTACGACCGATCGGTCTCCGAGCTGACGCTCTCCAAGATGAAATGCACCCTTGGCGACCTCGAAAGCGACCCTAACGCTGTGTAGGGCCGCGTATTCTGTTCCCTTTTGCGAGCCAACGCCACTCGACCGGTTTGAAGAGGCATATTTACGAGAAAGACGCGTGCCCCGCGTTGGAAACCTACGATCATCCCTTGGATAGGCCTGATTTCGAATACAAATTCCTCCATATGTAACTTGGAGGAACGGTTATTGGTCCAACTAAGGGTTATTAGGTCCGGTAGGTGAAAGGACCTCCTTTTTTTTCCTCTTCGTGACCAGCACACCCACGTACACGTTTGGCACGATGAATCGTTTCGGATGCAAACACTGTTGGGGTTATTTATGACGAACGTTAGAGGAATTGCAAGAAAGCTTTTCGTGTCTTTCTTTCTCCCATTTTGAAACGCAATGTCGATAATTATCACTTCCAATTGGAATATTGTCTTTTATATTATTCGAACAGATTCAACCTGTATCGACTTGTATTATTTTACAATGTAAAATGACGTGTAATTTACTATGTAAATTAAAGATACAATAGATGGAATAATAATTATAACATAGAATAAATAATCAACGACCAATTCTTTTCAACATTGTAACGTAAACCTGATTAAAAATAAAATAAAACAAGAACGCAATTAAATTCATCGAAGAAATATATCCTCGAAGAGGCCAATAACACTTCCATTTCCAACCAAGAAGGTTTGAACAAGGGGGCACGGGTGAAAGTAGGCGACCCATGGAGATTTATACGAAGGGACAAGCGCGAGAGCGAGTCGAAGAGGGCGCGGGGGGTTTCAGGTTTCCTCGCGGGGTTCCCCGGGTACGATGGCCGTGGAACAGAGCGGTACATTATTTCTCGATGTCAAATAAAGCAATTAGCATGTGCCCTGACCAGGGTCCACGGGTTCTAACCCGAGTAATCTCGCCTGGGTCCCCGGCGTGTGCGACATCTTCATCAGAGACGGACCCTCCTCCTCTTCTCCTTCCTCCACTTTCTATCCTGCCACCCCTTTTGCCTGGACGACACTCCGCTCACCACGTGACCATCCTGTCGCCTCCCCCTCCCCCAAGAGACGAAGAAGAGAGAAATCCACGAGAAAGAGAGGAGAGAGCCTCAGCGTACACGCGTGGCGAAATTGCAGCGCGGAGAGAAAGGGGGGGAAGGCGTTGTCCAGCCCGGTGCAACCCGCTTCCAAGGGAAATTTCCACAAAGGCTCCCCGACCCGCTGTTAATGAATGTTATATAACCCTTTTAATGCTTTAAGCCTCTTAGATTTTTCAGAGAGCCCTCCACGCGCCTTCTTCGTCGCCGTCGCCTACGGACGGCCTCGTTCGACCCATTCCCTCCTCCTCCTCCTCCTTCTCCTCCTCCTCCTCCCTTTTTCCGCGCTCCTGCTGCACCAGAAGTGGTTTCCCTTACGCCACGGGAGAAAAAAAAAGGCCGAGCGAGAACGAGGGAGGGGAGAGAGGGGGGTTCCGCCTCGGGGGTAGGTAATTATGTGGCGGACGTAAATTAAGCTTGTTTAGATTGGGATTTTTATTAAGGCCCTTTATGAGAGAGTGCCGCCGCTAAATGACGCCGCGAACACTTTAACCAACTGGAATTCCTTCGAGCGAGTTGATCGAAGAGGGATAAAGATGGATGTTTTAAATGTAGGTATCGAGTATTTTTTTTTTCTCTCTCTCTTTTAAGATATTTATAATTTATTTTCTTTTAACGAAACGTGTAAATAATTGAAGTTGCATTGTCTCGTGATGGGGATAATTTAAAATTCTTATTAGAAATATAATAAATAGATAATATAAGTTTCGAATTCTATGTTTTGAATTCTTTCGGGGGAAATCCCATGGAGCTCGTAACTAACGATCAGGAAGTGTATAGAAGCGGGGCAGAATCTAACGACGTATACGAAAGAAATAACTAAGGGTTAGTTTAATCGTACTTTAGTAGTCGAAGGTTTTAACCTTTCTTTTGTCCCCCATTTACCGAGGGCAAGAAAGGACTGCAGTTAGTCGTGTAGCTAATGTTCGGTCCAGCTTGCTAATATACGATATGGTACGAAATAAAACTCTGCTAATCGGAAGCACTTTCGTTCCAATAATTCTTTTACTCCATCTTTCTTTCAATCCTCCTATTTTTCCTCTCTCTCTTTCTTAGAATTTTTATTATAATTTCTTCTGCAAATAAAATATATTATAAATAAAATTAAAAATCTATTAGTACATCTATTTTATGATTTTCTATTGTAACAAAATTTATACAATTTTTTTATTATAATTGGATTATTATAATTTATTAATATTATTATAATTTTATTATTAATTGGATCGTTCATTTATTTCTGACAACTTTTCTTTTCAAAATTTCCCTTTACAAATTTTTTTAAAGAAAAAGGTACGAGAGACAAATTCAATCGATTATAACAGGCAGAAAAATCAGTGTTCGTGTTTCAAATCATCCTCGTTTCGGAACGAATGTTAATTTTAGCTGCTAACGAGGGGCTATTGCTGTATAGCAAACAGCTAACTGCCTTCGCTCTAAGGTTTGTATACCAAACTTAAGCAAAACAGATACAAACTGTTCGTTATATATACACATATATATTGTAAATACTCATGTTTTCGATGAAGAAATTTCCGGTAGAAGTTTAATTCAACCGAGGATAAACAATTCGAATATACGTTGAATGCTTCGATTTTATACACAAATTGAAAATCGAATTGTCTCTCTTATTCGTCGCGTATATATCTAACGCGAATTTAATCATCCTTTGTATCTCATCGCCTTTTACTTTCTCATAATTGAAATAACAAACTAAAAGAAAACACGCGTAAATAAATCGAACACATTCCAATGTTCTACATTTCCAAGAACGAAATAATTAACAAACAATTGACGAACAACCTCCGCACGAATGTCGTCAAACAGACGTTCCTCCAAGGAATTCTCTACTCGTCGTATCGAGAATCGAGATTCGACGTTGATTTTCTTGGATACCTTCCGCGAGGCGAGACCGGCTCCGTTCGTTCTCTCGATTAGGCTTTGCCGTCATTAAAAGTTTATAAAGAAGCAGAACTACCAGCAGCCGAGGCACGCACACACGCGTACACATATATACAGAAAAGGAGAGAAAGAGAGAGAAGTAGAGAGAAGAAGTGGAGAAATAGGGGGGGTGGAGAAGGGATCAACATCCCGCCTAGTCGAACGGGGGTGGCAAGAAAGTGAGGCAGAAAGCGGGAGGAGGGACAGAGAAGGAAGAAGAAGAAGAAGAGAGAGAGAGAAAGAAAGAGAAATTCCAAGCAAGTTTTCTCATGTGCAATGCATAATGAGGAAAGGCAGACAGCGCATAAAGGGCCTACAAATGAGGCTCGGGTTATACATATACATTCAGGGCTCTGGATACGAGTAACCAACGTGCACGCGCGCAAGAAGGGCGCGAAAGACTTTCATCCCCGCCTGGGTTACACACCGTTAACGCCCCCGCGACTTCTAAGCGCGCAAACGAGTTAAAAAGTTTCCCCCTTTGATTTTAGGTATCCCTATGGAACTTCGGAAACGGTGCACTCGTAAAGTTCTAATCTTCTGTTTATGCTGAGCTCGCCGTTACGGCGATGATCTTTGGACTTTGGATGAGGAGAGATTCATGGGGATGAATCATTTTGACAATTGTTTCGAGGTAAGGTACTTTTTTTTATTCGAGAAATTTGTTTTGCACCCCTTTCTGAAGTTCGTTCCTCTCTCATTTTTCAAGTTATTCAAATAATTATAGCGTGTCAATAACGTTCTTTGTCCTTTCTTTCAACGAGAGTAAGGGAATGTAATTTAAAATATACAGTTATTAGCAAAGTATAATTAATATTTTTGAATAAGAAATTTGCGTTCTACATGTATTTCCACGAGTCATTAAATACTATTGAGTTGCTCGAATGAATTTTCTTCGTGTTGGAATTGCTGGTCTTTCTCAACACAGGCCGTTAAAATAATAGCAGCCGAAAATACGAGCACGTAATGACCGACGCATGCTACATGAAAACCGATTAAAGGTGTTAGATCGATCTTCCTTGGTAACTGAACTCTCTATACTCGCTCACGGCCGATCGAACACGTTACTGGTTCGTTCGACATCAAATATAAGCACGAATTTTATTAAGTTATCGTGTATTCTGTTTTACTGTCGATTAATTTATATTACTCGGAGAACGAAACAGACTTACCTTGTTCATGATTTGGCGGGGATAGTCCCGCCTTGGGAAGATCGACTCTGTAACAGAAAAGAGAAAACAATTATTGCTATTCGAATGTAAGTACTCGATTATGTTTAAAAATTATAATATACATTGAATTTTTTAACATATTGATCACTGTAAATATAAAATACTTTTATTTTCAATTTCAACTTTTTAATGTTGTATTATTCAAAATTCTTATTTACACTCGAAACTTGTGAAATTTACGAAAATTTATGAAAAATATTGAAGATATTTTACAAATATTTTCCTATGAAATTTTCTTATCCTAACAATGTCGAAACACGATTATCGTATCTAAAACCAAGATATCGTTCATCCGCGAAAAATATAATATAATATAATCTTCTCATCCTTTCAACCCTTTTCCCTAGCTCGCCTTATGACGGCAGCTAATGCACGCAGGTTAGTCCTCGATCGTGCACCTCAGTCCCGCATCTTCAACCCACTCCCCCATTTTCTCCTCTCTTCCACCCCTGAACGGGCACCACCGAATTCCCGTAATCTAATGAATGGCCTAACCCCAATATCCTCTCGGCTCAGCCTCACCACCCCCTATATACTCCGCAGCTGTATGTACCACGCATGTAAATACGTTCACGAACGAGAGATTCGAGCGATATCGGCGTGCTATCGGCGTGTAACGTGTTTCTTTAAAACTCGACTACCCTCCAGCGGCAATTAATTATTTTGACATTATCGAGACTCGCTCTCCCCCCCTCGACGAGACAGAGAAAGAGAGAGTGTCCTCCTCGTCGATTTATCCAAGACGATCGAATCGGATGTCCACCAATTTCCTCTACACCGATCCTCGATTAAGAGACGTTTCTCCATTAACAAACTCTTCGACGAATTTCGACTCGAGAAATAAGAGATCGATAATATCGCGGACGCGAGAATTTGAGTTTTTTTTTTTTAGAATCAAAGGAGAAACGCGATGGAGAATTTTCGTAAACGGGGGAAAAAGGAGAAGAAATTAGTAAGAAACAAATTGAACTTGGAAGCGGAACTTTTCAATGCGCTTCGTTAGATATAGAGCTACCCAACTGGCAGTCTGACCCAACGAACTGCCCCAACTGATCCCAACCAAAAAAAAAAAAACCAAAAAAGAAAAAAAGACGAGGCACAGAAAGAGAAAGGAAAAGGAAGAATTAGAGATTCTCCAGCAACTCGTATCAACCTCTCTCCCACACGCATCCCCCGTCATATTTAAATCCAGAGTAGCGGAACAACGGCTAATTACTGGAGCGGAGGGCAAGGCGAAGTTCTTTGGTCCAGAACGGGGGATACGACGAGACAAGGCAGGCTCGAGGCATCTGTGTACTATCCGCAACAGGAAGGCAAGGAAGCGCAAATGTGTTTATTTTCGGGGAATAATAAAAAGGGTCGTCCAGCGTCCGTGACGAACGCCGGTTGATCGTACGAAAGTTGGGAATAATGTTTCGGACACGACGCTCGTCTGGCTCTGCCCCGAAGAGAGGCTCCGCTCTACACCACTCTCTCGCCCACTCGCGCTCTCTCACCCCTTCCGTCCACCCACCCTCCCCTCCCCCGATCTCCACCAGCCTACCCTTATACGCGTGTCCGCCGCAGATTCAGACTCCTAATTAAGACGAGGGTGCGAGAGGGGTTTCAGGGGTTTCTCCCGGGTTCTCCCTGAAGGGAGGTGGGAGGGCGTGGGTGTGGGTAGTAGAAGGAGGGTTTCCACGAGGTAAGGGGCACCCGTACCGCGCCGGAGGGGTAAGCCAAGGCAAAGGGGGTAAGGAATATTGATCACGGGACCACCACGGCGGCGAGGCAGGGACTGGCCATACTCTCTCCCTCCATCTATCTATCTATCTCTCTCTCTCTCTCTCTCTCTCTCTCTCACCCTCTCCACTCTCTTTCTCTCTTTTGCTCTTTCGTGTTCCATACACCTTTCTCTCCGTCTCGCTTTCTATCGTCTCCCTGTAAGCGTGTCTCCCCGTGCTTTCCTGCTGTATGAACGTAGACGTCTTTCGCTGTTGCTCCTCGGTCGCAGGCAGAATGGACCAGGCCAGGCCAAAACCGCCAAACGCCAGATGCGTGAAATCAGTCGGTTGAGAAGGCTGGCCCCGCAAGCTTTTGCGAATTATTGACGCTGAAACCACGAGCAGCAGATGATGTTGCGAGGCTGTGTTTCCCGAGATTGGGGGTGTGAGTTGGCGATAAAGAGTCGCCATGAATATCATTATATCCGTGGAGCGAGAGAAATCGAAGAAATAAAAAAGAGAATGACACGCGCGCGTGCGATTATTTGTATTTGGGGATGATCGTGATCAAAATCTCGTGTACTTTATTTTAGATTTACCGCATCGACATATATATTGAACTAGAACTCCGTTTCAGGTTTAGTAGTACGTTCGCAAGTAAGTCAGCACAAGTTTCTAAGTTGATATTGAGTGCAATGAACTCAATTTTCTTGCGTTCAAGGAACTTTTGTTCGAAAGTATTCCACCCCTTATCCAATCGTTTCGAATTGAAACCTTTAAAGAAAGGAATAGACATTTTCACAAATATATTAAATCAAAATAAATTAAAAATTCACATCATCTGTCCGATTGATCATCTTCGTTTGTCGAGAATTGAAATAATGATAATAATAATAATAACCAGAAATTTAATTATTATAAAGGAATATAATTAGAATAGTGAACGTACATGAAATAAACGTGGAAACGATGGATCAGATTTTTTTCGCGATTGACGATGCAGATGAAGAGTGAGTGAAAACGAGAAAGTTTCGATTTCCGTACAAAGCTCTAATGTACAAGAAGAGAGGAACTGAAAGTTCTCGGAATCGGGGTGGCTTGACGAACTTTGACACACGCTCGGTCGAACAGAATCTACGCCGTAGACGTGTGTAGCGTTCTCACGAGTTTTCGAACGATCTTCTAGAATGGCAAGAAGGAGGAACGACTTGGCTCGTTCCCGAGGCTACGACAGGAACGACGGACGAGCTCTGAGTTTACACGACGGCGCTAGCGACTCGTCTTTCTGTCCGTCGCTCTCCCTTAATTAAATCTCTCGACCCTTCCCGAACAACTCGCGCGATTCTAGCCAAGGACTAGAGAGAGGTATAATAGAATCGAACCCTCTTCTTCCTCCTCGCTCGACTTTCCCTGTCACCATAGCGAGATTTTTCCTGTTAATCGTTACGAATGTACGCGCGAGAACGAGACGCTTAGCTTTACGTCATTTTGTTCTAACTTGTCCCCAAGTGTTCGCGATTTGTTAAGCGTTGAATTGTTCAGAATCAAAAGGCAGAGATGTATAGAAAGAAAATTTATTCTCGATCCGTATCTTTCTTCTTAAATATTTAATCTTTTCACGCGTTCGTCGAGAAAAATCTGATTAAAGTTTACACGGAACATCGAAACGCATTATTTTCAAAATAAGATACCCTTGCGTCACTTTTCTCATTGATCTCTTTGATTGGAAAAATTTATAATAACGAAACGTATACGATATAGACGTGTCGCTCCATTATCATTCGTATCATCTCAAATCATCGAATTACCATCCAACTATCCAACCTCGAATGACAGAATGACCGAGGGGCAGAAAATAATCGAGCAGCCCACAATGGACGATCGATCCATCGTCACGGATAACGTCTTTTCTCAGTTCGCGACCTCTTCAGCGATTCAATGCAACGGCATTTTCATGGCTCCAGGTGCCGTTATTCGGTCCGGTAACGAACGTCAAGGGCGACCTCGACGAGGCCGGAAGAGATCTCATTGTCCAGAAGCGGAGGCCACGATAGGAGGGTTGCGCACCGCCGGCAACCAGCCAACTCAAACTTTGATATGGTTTCCTAAATAACCAAGGCTACCGATACCGCAGCACGATATTCCTCCCTCCCTCTCTCTCTCTCTCTCTCTCCTTTCCCTCGTGGCATCCACCGCCTACACCGCTTCTGCATCCATCCACTCCGATCCGTGGCGGGTGTCGCAACTACTGTCGAAGCATATTGAAAGCCTCACACCAACGATGACCTAACTTACCCTCTCCTTTCCCCTTCCGCACGCCACCGGTGCGCCCTTCGTCGCGAGAGCTTTCCTCGCGAGGGCGTGCGTTTGTCGTTTCGCGTGCAAAGGTTGCCCGCATGCAGAGCGTGGTCGATCGACCGCGAGATAGAGAAATCTACCTCTCCTCCCTCCGTCTCTCTCTCTCTCTCTCTCTCTCTCTCTCTCTCTCTCTCTCTCTCTCTCGTGGGGTACACGCGGACCGCGTCTGAGCAATTTGAAAGCGGAGTGACAGGCAATCAGGAAGGTAGACGGCCATCTAAGGACAAGCGGCGCATGTTGGAAAGGGGTACACGGTGGGACACGCGTAATGACCGACGATTTATCCGGCCGCGAACGAGCCAAGAATTTGGAATTAAAATCTGCGGCGGGATAATTGTTCCGGGAGGGAAGTTGAAAGTTCCGAGGCGGGGGTTCAGAGATAAGACAGGTTGCATTTTGATGAGGGAAAAATTATTTGGGATATATTCTGGAATAATTCCAGATCCTCTTGTCGGACTTACGTTCTAAGCGGAAAAATTCGCGATCGAATATCTTTGATTTGCGTTCTAATTTATTTATACGAAAGAAAAGAGAATCTTGGATAAACGAACAAAATAATTGAAACGTGAAATCGTTCGATGATAAATATTTGCAAGCGAACTTTACTCCCGGCCGATCTTTATGCCTTCGTTCTATTCCCCTTGCGGCGAATAAGAATGAAAGAGTTGCGACAACGAATCGCGAACGAATTCGCGCGTACGGGGTTTAGAATATCTTTTCTCGAGGCGAGGGGTGGGAGGCGGGCGTGACTGTATCTGGAGGTTAACTGTTTGTCCGCTAATTAGAAGCTAACAGCAGAAACTAAAGTTCCGAACTTTAAAGTTTCTTGCCTCTGCAGGAGCCTCTCCTAACGCCCAGCCGTTACCCTCTTCTCGGGGGCGGTGCAGACACCCCAGAGGCGAACGCCCTATCGTCCTTTTCTTCTC